TGAAGCAACTGCCATGTGATTGGTTGATTAGATAATTGCATTAATGAGAAATTGAACAGGTGTTCCTAATAATCCTTTAGGTGAGTGTATAACCACCTGAGTTTGTTACAATTTTCTGTTTACATTTGACATTCTGGGGGGGGGATCCACCTTCCTCAGGGATCATCGACTTAGTTTTATTACTAAATGGGCCATTGTATTAAGACGATGTAGTATCTCAGTAGTATCCAACTTGCATCCTGCATTCGTCATATGTTGTTGCTTAAGAACTTTTTAATACACTGAATTATAGCTGATAACTGCTTACATCTGGTGTCAAGCTACACTTCTACTGGGCGTCCTGAGCAAGAGTGGAAACTGCCAGGAAAGGCTGGCGGATGGAAAACTGAGCTGGGGGAGTTTGGCATCGGTCAGTCCAAGTTCAGGAGGGGCGTCTGACGTCTTGGCACTAGTCACAGGAGCAACGTGGTACCGACACAGAGACCTCTGAAGAATGCGTCATATTTGCCCCATGGGGTCTCGGTTTCTATGGAAACCCATGCACTGTCACTTGCTGGTAGTCATTAATCTGAGTGATATGGTTCCACGTTCCTTTTGCAAATGAACTGCTGTTGCTTAGTGTCTATGGTAAATTGATGTAAACATAATGGTGCAAACCAGCCTAAGAAGCCTGCACAGATCTTGGGATATACTTCCCTTCTGGAGAGCCTAGTAAGTTTAAAGGAGTGAACTGAAGTTAATGTTTCCAACTTTACATCAAGTAAAGCCAACTCATGTGACTGTTACTGAGCTTGCGTGACGGGAACTTTAAAAGACTGGCAGAAACGCTGATCTGAGATTTGCTGTTGTCGATGAACTGATACGACTATAAGTTCTCGGTAATTGATCATTATCCTAAATGCGTTCGTTGCCAGTTGTGGAGCTGGAAGTCATATACATGACTGATGTGTCTGCAGCTCAAGACCAATAAGGGGACATCCCGTACCGGTGCCGGAACCGTAATCACTTTGACCCAAATGTGGCCCTTGCGGTCAGGAGCGGAGACGACCCGGGATTTCCGCTGTCTGCTGGTCGACCCACCTCCCTCAAAGTGTCTCTGTGATCAAAGGGCTGGGATACTTAAAAGTAGATCTGTATGTTTAGGCTGTGCTTGTAGGGTTCATCAAAGGCAAGGATGGCTCTCTTTGATTGGGTAATGCTGACTGTGGGGGCCTTGGAGAAGGGGGTGGGGCCAGTTCAGCTCGCTGCTCGAGTTGGTGTGACACACCTGGTAAATAAGCCAGAAACATGCATGGTATGGCTGCACACTTGGCAGAGAATCTGCCACCGCCTGTCTTGGTGTCATATCTGCAGCTTTACGTTCCTTGTGGAATAGTATGTTTTGTCTAAGAGGTACATGTTAATTTTTGAAGGAATTTTGGATTTATAAGTTTGGGATTGTCTTCGCTCAGACAGCTGGAGTTAGTCCTCTTACACCAGTCATTATTTGTGCGTAAAAATATGAAAACACGGTCTTCTGACTGCGACCCGAAGGTGTTTGGTTCGTGAACCTCTCCTGTCCCTTTTCGCCTTTGTGGTAAAGTCTTAAAAAGGCACGAGGATATTTGTGGTCGGGGCGGACAGGGGTGCGGCAGCGTGACACAGAGTAGAGGCGTGTGGGATGCTATTTTTTGTCGAAGAAAACATCTACTCCATCATTATGGGGTACTGGTGGGAACGCCAGTCATGCCGGCTCCGCGTCTGGCTTGGTTTGCACGTTGGAGCTTCTGGATAAAGTGCATCAGCCGTTATTCAACTGGTCACGGGGTAACTGCTCTGGGGTGAGCTCCGCCCTGGTTCTTTGGGTCCAGGCAGGTCCAATGCTGTCCAGCCTGGGAGTGAATGGTGTGGCTGGAGCCGGTTCTGCCTCTCCAGGGCCCCGACAAGGTGCCCTACCACGCCGTATTATGTACAAGAGGTACAAAGGTGCCTAAGTCAATGGGCATCCCTGCCCCAGTGCATGCTGGGACAGCCCTGGCAGGAATGCCCTTCTATGCCAGGTTCTGAGGCTTGCTCACATGCCAGTATGATGGAAACCTCCACAGACACCCCCCTGTCTACAAGCCTGGCAGCTCTTGTCAATCATCAGAGATGAGCATGCTGACCTTTGCCTGTCTCAAAAGTGGCATATCTTTTAAGATCATAGGTGCTTGGCCGCAGTGGTGCAGATGTCACACGTCACGTAACAGATCCCAAAATGACACATCTGGCCCCATGCCGGGCCACTCCAATCCAGATCCTGTAGGGTGGGCTTTCCTGTCAGCCATCATCAAGGACTTCACTGAAATTCATGAAACGAGTAATGACGTCTAGCAAGGCTTCATTTTAACTTACTGTTGCAGAGTCTGACCAACTAATTATATTAGAATCAGTGTCTAATGAAGACCAGATTGGCTGTGTAAGCAAATGGCCTCTCTGCCTCATTTGCCACCAAAATAGTTCTTCAGTTTCTATTCTGCTTGTAGTAGAGAATCTGGGCCCTCCAATTCACAAGGCCTAGGAAAACATGGTTTCTCATTTGGAAGAGCAGGCTTTACATGTTTTGCAATATTTTTCCAAATGCTTTTATCCATACCTCCTACATATTATGGGGTATGTTGCACCATGATAACGAAGGACATATAAAGTCATGGCTTTATATGTTACTTTCTGAACATGTTGTACTAGAAAAACTGCGTAGAGAACATTTCTGGGAGATTTTATCTGATATTAATCAGTGCCGGCTCTCTCTGTCCAGGCCATTACGAGACACGGAAAGGGGGCTGTTTGAGACATGGAGACTGTTTTCTGATCCTATCGCTTCCTGTGCTAATTGAGGCAAGCTACTGAAGGCCGTTTCCACGTTCTGGAACATTTACGGCCCAGATCTATGTATCAGTGTAATAAATCTGAAGAAACATACGCAAAACACTCCAAACAAGTCCAACTGTCCAGAAAAAGCAGACCTGCAGGGTTCTAGTATTTGTTTTGCTGGGACGTTGAAATGTGCCAACCATATTTGGCAGGGACCCCAAAGGTAATGAGTATGTCTTTTTGGGGGAGGGGGAGACTTATTTATATCACATGTTTTCATGAGATCAGTGGAAGTGTTTTGTGCTTTTGTTGGGTGCCTTGGTGGAGTCAGTTGATGGCTGGCATGGTCTTTGTGGGTCTTGCTCTCCGTGTTTAGGCCTGGTTACATTCCCCTCCCCCCATGTCAGTCTGAAGAACAATGCAGGTCCCCACATTCTGCAAAGCCTAACTAAGGCTGTTCTTTGCCGGTCTTCCCATTGTGGTGTCCTGAGGTGACTCGGTAAGGAGTTACTCCCTGAGACTGATGGTTCTGCTCAACCAGCACAGTGTCGGCACTAGATCAAATCTGACAGAAAGCAGAAGAAACATCACCTGTGCTTGGGATTATTTTTGGGGGGCCGCAGCCGGTCATTTGGGGAGGGGAGCTAGGCCCCCCTGCGGCGCCGACACTGCTAGACCCAGCCTTTTTGCGTCAGAGCGCGGCTAAGCTGCTCCTCGGTGTGGATTCGACCATCTGTTCGGCCTTAGCCAGGGACACGTTACACGTTTACGATGCCAGACCAAGAGACTTCAGAAATTCCTCCACAAAACAGGCAGGAGAACAAAGGGTTTGTAGGCATAGTTCTGTTTGTCCAGCCTGCAGCTGGACAGGGGTGGTGGGGCTCTAAGGTGGAAGGGACAGCCCGCTGGAGGCCAGATGCAGACCCACAGAAGCTGCTGACCACTTTGTGAGCGTGTGTGCAAGTGGAGAAACACCGGCAGGAACATTTACAAGAAACTGAGCATGGTCTTATAACACATTGCGAGAAGTGTGCTTCTTAAATCGAATTTGATGGTTTGTTTAGTAGCTTTGCCTGAGTTAAACACGGCTCTACATACGCTGTTTGGCAATTTAGCTGATGCAAACTCACGACAGGATGCACATGAACACACAAATCCGCCACATACTGTTTGAAAGGGGGAAATATTTGAACCGTTTCATGCGAGGGAACCGTTCTGGGTCATGGTTCTGTGTTCCGTTTGGATGACTGTGGTTGTATGGAAGACATCTGGTCTTCCACTAGAAATGTGCTTGTTTGCATTTCATTCTGGAAGGATGTGATGCAATTCTGGAAGAGAAGAATCATCGTATAGACACTGAACATGCGTATGACTTTCTCCTCGCCCCGCAAGGTCAACAAGAGAGGCCCGGCTTCAGCTGTTTTGCAGCCCTTTTTTGGTGACCTACTAAATATATATATCCCATGGTTTATTTTTAAAGGCCATGAAAAAAGAAGATTGGAGTGAAGATGGCTGGTGTTTGAATTTAACATTCCACTTGTATGAGACAGGTAAGAAATATCATTCACTCCCCCATCTACCTCTGCATACATATACAGTTGCCCCGAGATACTGCTAACTGAGAATAGTAGTTATAGACCAGAAGATTCCTCCATCTCAGAGCTTGCATTTATGTGAACCTCGTGAAGGACTGAAATCATAACCGCAAGGCAGTGGAGTTAAACCTCTCCCATTAAACCTGGATGATAGGTTGCAGGGGTCGTGGGGTGTAGCTGCGCACAGTAAAAGTGGGAATGTATACGTAGTGATCTCTTGTGTAAGGAAATATCTGGGGCCCAAAACATCAGGAACATTACTTGTGTCCATCTTGATTGTGGGAGTTTTACTTGCACAAAAATGTTCTCCGGGCAGAAGGGAAAATTATCTGTCTGAACCAATCAATTTTCCTTCTGCCCTCAAAACGTTTTTGTGTAAATAAAACTCCCATGAGCATCCCTCTTTTTGGGGACTCGATCTCCAGACCTCTTTTCCTAATCTGATACTTTTTCAAGCAGTTTATGTTTTTGGTGAAAAACATTCCCCTCCTTGGTCCAGGGCGCATGCCACTCAGTCATCAGATAATCTTGTGTGCTGCAACTGTGCAAGAGGCTGCTGTGGCTTGAGGGTAATGTATGGGGAGCTCTTGATGTTTGCTTAGTGGTCTAGAGCCTGAAGGAGAGGCGTGTTCTTGGCAGTCAGTAGCCAATCCTGGGCCAGGGAGCCAGGGCCATTGTCTACCTCTGCTTAGTCTTAGACTTGACTGTTTTGGTTTATCTAGCTGTGGGTCATCGATTTTTAACGTACGGTTTACTGGAAGAGGCCGATACGTGTCATTTCCCGTGTTGACGGCATTGCTCAGAGGGTCTCAGATGGATAAGTCAGTCATCTCAGCGGCTCCGGCTGTGAGAGACAGGCTGACGCGCCCCGGGTCCTTTCATGCTTGGCTGTCCAGCTTGGAAGCCTGTCTGAAAACCTGCCTGCTTGCTGCTGCAGTAGCCCCTGCACATCTTCACAATTACCCATAATTATATTTTCCTGTCAGACTCTTCCCATAATTACAGGCTGTGTGTGTGTCCTTCTTCTACCCCACGCACAGCTATTTTTGTGGGGACTTCCCCTCCCCTTGTTTTATTGTAGTCGAAATAACCCTCAAACCACTGAAGCTGGGATGAAAATTCATACATTTTCGGCACTTTTTTTTATCTTGAGGGACATTTTTTTTTTTCTTCACAGGTTTGATTTACTGGGGACTGAAATTTGTCCCTGCAGGTTGAACAAGATACGTACATATGCACACATACACAGATATACATATACATTTTCCACTTTCTGTTAGTCAAAGCCTCCCAGATTGCGTGACTCTTTTCTTAACTGGTTTTTTAATTTTTGGTGGATAGGAACCAAGTTAGTTATAATTATACCTCCTATCTATGAGAAAGTTCAGAGAGTCATGACAAGTATCTCATTAAAATATACAGCACTTACAGGGTGTCGGGGCCTGATTTTATATTTTTAAAGGGCAGATTTGAGCAGCTCTCTCCCAGAGGGAGTGTGGGGCTGCGGGGGGGTATTAGCATAGAATGTTCGACCCATGCGGTCGCTCCCACGCCATCAAAGTGCCCTTGGAGAACCGCCCCCCCCCCCAGCTCATGGAGACCCTTGGAGATTCAGCCTGGCTTCCAGCTGTCTCCTCTCAGCGAACAAGCCAGGCTCATTCAGGAGGCGACAGTGAGAATCTTTCAGTCGACCCTTTCCTCTTTCGGTCTGGTTTCCTCTGACTGAGGCAGTGGGCAGCAGTGTGTGCAAAGGTTGGCAGAGGTTGTGCACAGGAGGGTTGGTTGGCAACAGGGGGGGTCCTGCCTGAATCTACAGCCCTGGACTAAGGCCAACATTCAGTTCCTTAACAATCGTTTGGAGATTCATTCACAGACTTGCATGGGCAGTAGTGTGAGTTCCTATATAAGCATTAATGGCGACATGTAGAACAGACCATATAGATGTACTCCCTCTGTGGCCCTCTGTGGAGACCAAGGGACCATTTCCTGGGTTAGATTCTAAAAATATGAAGATAGAGATGATCTAAATATGATAAGCCTTAATAAAAGACCTTGCCCAGATGTGACCCAGCTTGCCGCCTACGTGGCTTCCTGAGTCTCACACCTGCATTTAACCCGAAACACTCACTTTCCACGCCCACCCAGTCAAACCTCAGGCAACTGAATGCCCTTAATGATAGTGAAACGCTGCTTCTGCCAGAGTTCAAAGAGTAGATCCCTGTATGTGTCACACAAACCAGTCGATTTACACTGCACAGGCAATAATCAACGATTAGAACCACCTGCTGACATGCCTGTAGTTCTGAGTCGTCGTCTGGCCAAGAATATGAATGTTTCTCCACGCATCTCTCCACCAGTGATCCGCTGCCGCCAGCTTGGAAAAGCTGGGAATTTGACCTGGACTTAACTGGTTTCTTGTTGGAAGGCCAGTTTGTTTACGTCTGCCACATTACGGTCTGAGCTGCGGCTAATGTGTCCCTGAAGCATGTGCCGGGTTTGATGTTTGGGGGACAGGGGGGTGAGATATGGAATGATGCAAACTGGGGAGGCTAGCATGTTCGACCCAAAATGGGGACCTACTGGAATGTAATTATACGCTCAACTGCTTTGGTTAATTACACAGCTGTATCAGCTTTGAGTTTCTTCTGGCACGCGTAATAATAGTAATGCCAATCACTCTTGTTCCCATGTTCTCGCTGGCGGGGAACAGTAATATCTGTAAGCTTCCTCCAAGATGGTCCTGTGTTGCGTTGGATCTTGGCAAACTGGGCTGAAAATTGACTTTCTTTCACCCTACCTGAGGCTTTCTTACTGCTCCTGGGTGTGGCAGTCAGCCTTCGATCATCTTTAATTGATTGTCAGTGGATTGCACCCAACATTTGAGTCACCTGACAAATTGGCAAATGCTCTTCAAGATGTCATTGTTTGTTGTTGTTATCTGGTGCGTGTCAGTGTCATTCAATGTTAAGTCTCTGTTGGGGTAATGAGGTATGTTTGCAGCCGCAAGTACATGGACTTTGGTTCTCTGTTGACCAATCTGTGCTCAGCGCTTTGTCCTCAGTATCACCTCCAGCCTCCTGGAGCCTCTAGTTTGATCTTCTTAGATTTTTAGCAACCTTGCTGTACTACTAGTGTCAGTCATCGGTATAAAAAATTACAGAGGAAATGGGTCACGTGTCACTTCTGTCCAGAAAGACCTAGAACTTGTCAAGGGCTCACTGGTGTGATGTAGAATTGAACAGACAAAGACATTTATTATTTTATTATGAATGCTGAACATTTCTTGGAATCTGTCGGTTGTCCTGTTGGAAATGCTGGACGGGGATAATTTATGAAGGGTGTGTTTGTCAAACACTGGTGATACTGAGGAGAAACATTGTCAAAGGGGTCAAGGAAGGCTGGCTTGGGGGGGGGGGAGGTTTCAAAGAAGGCTGCAGTCAGCCAGGGCCCACCACAGATGGTGTCCATCGCTTTGAGAATGCACAAGGGAAAGCCTGTGTGTCCGATCCCCCCCCCAGCCCTCATAAACACAAACAGTCACCCTCAAGAGATCGCCCCCGAAATACTTAAGATATCAGCAGCAGCGTTTGCCTGTTTACCAAATGAAAATGAATTAAATGCCTGCAGTGCCTGTTACATTCTGCCTTTCCTTAATTTCTTAATACTTTTTTTTATTGGGGGGATAGAAAAATTCTTATTTTTTCCCCCTGTGTGTGTGTGTGGGGGGGGGGTTTCCTGTATATATTGAGTGTTTCTTTTTTTGCTTTGTTTTATTGTTTTTTCCACACAGGAAACCGCATCTTTCGTAATGAGTGCCCTCGTTGGAGGAGTCACACTGACCCCAGAGAGGTGACTCAGTGGACATGATGAGCTGCTTTTGGAATGCAGAGTCCACCATCTTGGCAGGATGACTCTGGGCTGTGGTGCTTGTCCCAAACAGCACAGAGGCCATCGCTGTGTGGGTGTCGACCACAGAAAGGGCACCAAAACAAAATCTTGGCTAATCAGTTTATTTGTTCTGTTAATTCAGTAATCCAGTTTTTTCAGGTTGAGTAAACGCAGTGTCCTGCCCCCTCCTCTCTGGCTATAATCAGTCAAGAAACCACATGATTTGCCAAGTACCAAGTATTGCGATTTCTTCTGGCTTGAGTGAGTGTGAGCACACATTGTTTTATCAGACCAAAGGAGACTTTAAAGCAGCCCCCTAGTTTCTCAGTAACTGTTTATGTAAAATACTATTAGAGTGAACCAGATGCTGCAGTTTGGTAAATCTAGAAGAATGTGTGCCACCCCCCAATTAAAAAATCTGACACTGGCTGACTGAAATAAATGATGTCTCCTGGTCTCTCCTCTTTGTTCTGTCATGTTCTGCATGTTCTGCTGCTTGCAAAGAGCATTTGAAGGCCCGTCTCTTCTTGTAACTTTTTTTGATTTAGTGCCGAAGGCCTGTAGTTATTCATTCATTTTGGGTTTGCAGGACAGTTCAGTGAGAAGTGGGTTGGTCCTATAAGGATTCCTGCTGTCATTCAGGTACTGCAGTATAATACGGTATGTATGTCGTTGTATAAACAAGCATTATTTACATTATAATTAATTTGTTGCTTTTATCCAAAGCCACTTACACTAGGAAAGGGTTACTTTAATTTATCTGTACGCCTTGCCATTCTAATCCGTGACTCCTGTATCTCCACATAGCATTTTTGAAATATGCTACAAACTTGCCAACAATATTTTTTCTATGTTTTGTTTCCCGATACATCTTTTTAAAAAATTAAATTATCTTTTTTTTTTTTTAATGAAAAACATACTTTTTATGGTTGCTTACAGAGTGATGTACATTGGATTTGACAGTCTGTTGTACCAAATTTTCTGTTAATTTATGTAGGGTTTGTTATTTTTTTCATATGACCGAAGAATACGACACTGTACTCAGCAATGTGTGTCCTATTTAGACCATCACAGGGTTAAACTACTGCTCACTCGCCAATGGTCAATTTACGTCAGTCTCTTTTATTGGTAGGTTACGCCCAATGGTCAAGGCTTGAAATTAGTAACTGTCTCTCAGATGGTGGCTAATTAAATTCCACTGAATCCTTAAGTCTCCCAAAAGAACATGACTTCCTTAGCTGGTCTGTTCTTTTTGTGATTCACCTCCAGCCGAATTGCTCCAAGACTGAGTTTGCTTTCCCCGCCGGACCGAACTTTCTTCATGACATCGCTGTACAGCTTGGAATATTGGCCTCATGGTCTGCCGGTAATCTAGGGCTTGTGGTATATATCCAGCTTTCTCCCAGTCTTATAGATTCACAGTATAACATCAGGAAGTTCTGGTCTTTTTCCCCACTGGATATTCCACTCAGCTTCTAGTCCAGGCAGTTGTCATCTTTGTCACTGACTTCCCATAAGCACTGGCATCACATCTCAGTCCTTGGTGCTGTTAATGAAACAGCAACCACATCCATGTCTTTGCTCATCAAGACCTCCAGCATCACTTGGATGTCAGGCTCCATTATTTCTTGATGCTGGAATGACGTACCCATCTATATTCCGTCATTGGGATCTCTCTAAACCTTCAAGGGATACCTCTTTTCCAGGAACACCTCAAACGAGTCGGCCAACCACTGTCCTGCTCTCTCGCCATCTGTGATCCCATACATGGTCTCCTGTCCATCCTGGATGTTCTCATATTTTGCCCTTGTCTTTGATATCTGTCTTATTAGGTTCTTGCTGTGGTCACCATAACATATAGTGTAGCTCTTGCTTTGATGCTCACTTGCACTTATGTCATTGGAAGTTCAGCCTAGTTGCACTTAAGCCTAACTGGCTGCTTGAGAGCAGTATGTCTATAATGTGCTATTTTCCTTGATGGTACGTCGATTTGGACAAAAGCGTCTGCTAGATAAATAGCTGTAAAAAGAGTGGGAAGTCTGCGTTTGCGTGTGTGTGTGAGTATACGTCTAAAGAAGCCAAGGCTGAGTGGGGGTGGGGTGAATGGACACTGTAAAATATGCTTTGGGGCTTTGAGTTGCACGTATTGAGCACATTAAAAATGGCCCCGACTGTGCACATCATCAGCTGGAGTTACACAGTGCACTACGAGAGTCTTAGTCTATAACCTGGAAACATTTGAACATGAAGTGGTCCAACAGAAAAGCCCTCCTCTGTCTGAGCTCAGGGGGCTGGAGGAAAAGCAGCTCCTGAAAGCTGGTCCTGATTAAAGTGGATTTTCATACCTTCTGAACATTTCCACGCTGAAGGACACCATGGTCTCCTCTTTCTGTTGGTTTTGGATTTTTGCAGCTTGCGTGGCGACTTTGTTCACCTCTCGCCCTGCCACAGTTTGCGGTGTATTTGCCGCTGCAGTGCTGTGTGTCCCACCTGTGTCTCATTTTAAAGCAGATCCTGCTTACTGTCAGTGGGGGGGGGCGCAAGTGGACCCCCTCCCCACCGGCTGGCGCTGGAATTTCTGCTTTTCCTGTGGACAGCATATCTGTTTTTTTTTAAATCTTGAAATAGCAGAGATATTCGTAGAAGCCCTGCAGAACTGACTGCTGTAGATAAACCGCTATATAAAACTTATCAGGATGTTAGTGAAAGAAAGCAGCAACAGTGATATTTGTAAACAAAGCTCATTTTCCCTGCTCACAGTTTCCTGTAAAATAAATACATTTGTCCCGTATTAAATCATTGTGACCATAACAATCACATATTTGTACACAAGCTGAAATATCTGCAGGTGGTTATATTTAAAAAAAACAAATCATTTTTCACAAACATGAAAAACAAGTATTTTTAAGATTGAACTACCCAAAACGCATAAAAAAGAAAAAGTTTGATATAGTCTGATGGTTGATCAAAATTTTATATAAAAAAAGGATAAGTTTTCTGTAATGCTGCATTTTTGGGACTGTATAATTTATTAGAAGGTATCTGCAAAAACAATGTACCTTCAGGCGGGTTAATTTTGTACTATAATGTCGGGACACTTATAAGAATAAGTGTATAAACTAAAAATATCGGGTATTAGAAACTTGACAGCCAATTAATGAATAAAAACCAATGATAATATTTAAAGGATGATAAAACATCTAATGGTTTAGTGATTGTTTACTGGCTAAGTAGGAGAAATGGTGTAGGAGAGAGTTTGATGCTGGGGGGGCACAATTTATTTAAACAAATTAGTCTGTTTATTGGGAGGAGGGATTCAATAAATTCAAATTAAATTTTGGGTGGGGGCACAAGTTAATTTTAGCAAAACAGTTTGTTTATTGGTGGGGGGGGGGGGTGAATACAAATTAAATTTTTACCCTCCCACCCCCCAGATCCTATGCCCCTAAGTAGGGGAGTTCTGCCTGAATTATTATGGTGCATCATTGTATACAATACGAACTACATAGAAATTACCTCAAGGGGGGGTTATGATAATGATGATAGATGATTGAATTCTGTCTAATAGAGGTTAGGTGTGCTGTTGGTTCTCCAAACATCTCTCTCCAAGCCACCCTGAAATTAATATAATCATAAATTGTATTTTCCACCCGTCCATTCTCCCCAAGGGCTGTGGTGAGGCTGGAGCCCGTCCCAGGCAGCGGGGGGGGGGGGGGGGGTCGGGGACACCAAGCAGGGGATGCCAGTCCCTCACAGATAAGCAGGGGGTCCAGCATTTGAATGTTTTTACTCCCAATTAATAACAGCCACACTGTCAGCATTCATTGTAATGTTTGCTTTAGGTTACTGCTATGAGTCGCATCTGACTATTAAACTCAAGCCATGGATTTATAAATTATATTTTTCTAGAAGAAGAAAAGATACTAAATACCCCTCGCATGCCGATTGCATCTGCCTGATTTAGCAGTAATTTGCTAAAGCCGTGCTCACTTTTGCGGCGAATAACACTTGGCTCTGCCTTCGAGTCCCTTTCCACGCGATGGGTTTTCGTGTTGATGTTGTTTGCCGTTGTCGGGGGCTGTGTTGCCAGAACCTGACGTGTGCAGAGCTTAAGAATGAATCACTGCAGCCTGTGACTTATTACACAATTCAATGGTCATTCAGTAACACAAAGACTGAAGTGTTTTTCAGTGCAATGAAAGATCACGTTGGCGATTTTTTTTGTTTGTTTTGTTTTGCTTTTGTGAAAGTATTGCAGCTAAAAACTATTGTAATATCGTGCCTCCAATTGTTAGAGCAGTATGTCACTGGATTGCAGTTTAAGGTTAAATCATCTGCAGACTCCTCTTCTGGCTTGTAATGCAATATTGTGGACTTTTGGGATGATGAGGACCGGCTGTGAATCTGTTTTAAGGGTCATTTAGTATCACCACGAAGGAAGAGCTCTCAAATGTCTGTCTAGAGAGCAGAAATGCTTCCTCACTTCCTGAATCGGTTCTTGACCGACAACCCCCACCCCCCCCAAGAGAACATTTTTATGATCGTTTCATCGCAAATGCTCTAAAATAACCACAAAATTGATTACTGATAATGTGTTTTTTTTTCCTTCAAAAAGCCGATTATTAGAATGATGAGACTCATACTTTTACGGGACATTTTTTGGGAATTTGGTGAGAAATGTTACATTACTGCGTTATTAAGTACTGCATTAGTCATGTTTCCCCAAGGTTTTTAATGACGTTTTAAAAATCATTTGGGATTGCTGCTGTGAGGCTGGACAAGCCCCCTGTAAGCCTCGCTCCTGGACCCAGGCTTGGCGTGTGCAAGCAGGGAGTTATGTGGGGGGTGAGGAGGCTGGGGGTGAGGGGGCGGGGTCAGAGGTTTAGGTAAAGCCTGAGAGGGAAACACTGAGCCCTTTGAAAAGGCCTGCCCTCAGAGCCACAGAGGGGCTGTGTCTATCTTCCCTGGGCTGCTTCCTGTCCCGCCCTTCCCGGCCTAACACCAAACAGACTTCTCTCTGCCATCACTCCCAATCCCCTGGCTTAGTAGGCAGTACAGCCCCCCCCATCACCGCCTTTGGCCCACACATGGCTAGAACCCCCAAGAATCCATCGCACACCACAAGTCTGAGCAGGCTGGGGCGGGAGTTAAAAGGCCAACTGGGATTCACGCGGCAGAGTCGGGGGTTACCCATAGGGCTTAGCGGCAGGAAGCAGGAGCTGGGGGAACACTGAACAATCTCTGTTCCCTCCCCCCCACAATTGCTGGCTATGGCATTTTAGAATCCTGCTGCAGATGCAGGGAAGAGGTGGGGGGGGGGAGACAGCTTGTAGGAGTCTGTAGGACTCCTAACTGGAGAACACACGCATGCCTTGGAGGTTTATGCATAATGCCCCCCCCTCTCTTTTTTTAAAGAATGGGTACAGGGATGGGAGAAGCTGACACGTGCTTTCATGTCTAAAGGTGCACAGCTTACCTTTGGGGAGGGAAAACTGGCTCTGGCTGCTCTGCTGAGGGATGGCTAGGAAGGACGGGGGGGGGGTGGAACATGACGGCACTTGTCGATGTATGTCGGGCCAGAAGGGACCCGTATCAGCTGAGGTAAGGGATCAGCTCCCCACTTTGAAAGCGACTGGACATCTGATTAGATCTGGGGAGGCCTTTCTCACTGTCAGAGTCTTACTGCAATTCCCCAGTCATATGTTCAGGGAATGGCGCCCCCCCCGCTTGGTACACCTGGACAGATGTCTTCAGCCTCTGCTGATCCCAGCAATCTCCAGTGATGCAGCCCCGCCCTCTGAGGGCATTTATTGTGGTATCTACTCTGCGTCGAGTTCAGTGTTTAGACGACTTCAGCATGACTCAGACTCTCTGACTGGATGGATTTGAATGTTTTGTGTGTGTGTGCGTGTGTGTGTGTGTGTGTGTGTGTCTATCTTCTCCCTTTTGTTCCATCAAAGAAAGCTTGAAATCACAGCAATCCCCCCCCCCAAAAAAAAACACTGCTTTTTGCCTGATGCACCCTTCTTTGCCCAGCTGAATGTTGCTGCTGGCTCTGTGCAGGCAGTTGGGTGGGTCCGTCCACATGGAACCATTTTCTGATCATCTTCTGCGGCCGCTGGACTCGAGGTCAGCCTGATTGGCAAAGTGGAAGTCTGAAATCTATGCAGGAATGTGAGCTGGAACACCAGGATTGGGCCGGACCATCACCAAGCCGAGAGACTTGACGGGACTTTGGATCCCTTCTCTGGCTGCTAATGCTGGCCAGCTCTCCGGTGCCAAAGGCTCAAGTGAGACGGAATCGTTTGATTTGGGATGGGAAAAGCAGAGGAAGTTTGAGTATTTTAATGGTTTCCAAGACCCCTGCCTCTGCAGTCACGGAAAATCCACCCAAGAGCCATACAACTCCCTACAGAGTGTAGTCCTCAATAGCCGCTCACATCTCCTTGAGGAACATGAAGAAATCCAACAGAAGAATGTCATAAGCAAAGCAGGGGTTGTAAAAAGATAAGCGCAAATCCTTAGGAGAGTGAGAAATATCCGTGGTTTATCGGCCATGGCGGTGTGACGGTTTTTTTTCCCATTTCGACACTTGCGCAGATGTCGCAAAATTTGCCTTAGTGTGGCATTTTGAACCGCATGACGTGCCGCGCCTTGAATACAGGTAGCCTCTCTTCTCCGGCATCACTGGAAGCCGTCCTGCACAGTCATAAATCAGGATATCTACAGGCTCAATCACCCCCACGCGCATGTTTTCAGAAAAGCAGCAACCTCACCCCCCCTCACACATTTTTCAGAGTGGGCAGCTGACCAATAGCATCGCGCCGTGGGGGCAGGCAATCACCGTGAAGGGCCTGAGGGAGACGGCCCCCACCGTGCCGCCCTTCAGCCGCGTGCCACGCTTGATGGTTTACTGGAAAAGCGTGCAGATGAGGGGGGGGTGTTAAGATCTTTCCCCGCTTTAAACACCGTGAAACCTGATCCTTCTGCAGCCTGCGAATGCACAGACCTCAGTGTGAGATGAGTGGAGTCTGCTCTGGAACGGCCGGCCATCACCGTGCGTGTGAGGGGAGAGGGGCAGCCTTCCGTGAGAATCTGATTAATTGTGTTTGTGTTTGCCAAGGGGGCCTTCCTCAGTCTTTCACAGATTACAGCTGAGGCCAATTCATTAGAGATGTGACATAGATGTAGCTCACATAGCTCACTAAATTAAACATGCCACTATTTACTTGTTCATCTCGCCTGTCTCTTCCTCGTTTTATTGTGTGGAAACTTTTCATTTAATGAGTGCAGTGCTGGCTTTCCTGGCAGTTTCCTTAACGACACAGAGGAAAGCCCCCCCCCCCCCCAACATGCACACTCCTCCTCCCCCCTCCAAACCCTGCCCATTTTAGGCTGTTCCTGTGTTTTTTCCCCTCTCCCCTTCTCTGGAGGGGGTTGTGTGACAGCCTTTCCTGCCTCTGCAGCGTGGATCCAGATGAGCGTCTCCGTTAGTCCGTGCCTCGCAGTGGCAGGAAGCTGCCACCCTTGTCCGGACTTGCCGCCACGCTGCTGACAGTCTGCCCGGCTGCCTCACCGCCAGCCTCCGCCTCTGCTTGGATCCACTACAGCACTCTCTACTTTTATCTCTTCTTTTTATTTATTTTTCCTTATGGTGGAAATTTTCCAGATGTTCTGCTGATCTCTTGCACCCGAGCCGTCAGACTCTGCTCTGCCCGGAAGACTCTACCTGTTCAGCGTGACATTTCTTTTCGGCAGAAGAACCCCGGTGGTCCGTCCCAGCAGAACCGAGCCGGTCAGTGACGGTGAGTGAGCCGTGGGTGTCTTCCTATGCTGTCATTACCGTGACGTTCGCTGATGTGCGATTAATGTTTCAGCGTCTGCGCGGGGGGGGGGGGGGGGGGCTGGGACACCTGAGCAGGTGGCGTCTCCCAAACAACCGCGCCGAGTCTGTGAACTTTCCGCACTCGCAGTTCCGGGGACCCCTGTGGGGTTGCTGCCTTAGACTGGCTTTCCTAACCCGCAACAGCGTCAGTTTGCTGTAAATTCCGGCTTCTGGGACACAGCAGATGCAGGCAGGGAAAGGGGTCGGGCTGTCAGTCTGCATTATGTTAACTCACGTGCCCTCCTCGAAGTTCCTGGTCCGGCTTGAGCCGAACAATCTGCAGACTAATGAGTGGATGTTTTGAGCTCTGAACGCATCCAAGAGAGCTGCCATTTGCCTATCAGCATAGCGCCCCCTGCTGTTGCCCTCCTGTGTTTTATCACATTAGCCGCCATTCAGATGTCGCAGGTGAGAGCGGGGAGTTGCTGGGAGTCCTGAGGATGCCATGTGTTGTCGTACTTGGCACCGGCGAGGGTGGGGGTCTCATGAGGGGCTGGGGGTGTGTCATGCGCATCCTGCACTCTGGAAGGGGAATCGTCCCAGGCTGAAGTCTGATATGGGTGATTTTCCTGAAAGTAATGAATGCCCCCCCCCCCATGTCAGAGTGGGCCGGCGAGACCGGGCATGCTGCTGATTAGTCGGTCAGAGTTCAGGACCTGCCATTGACGCCTTGGGGGGGGGGCATGGTGCCTGCCCTCTCACCATTAACACCTGGCCTCCTGCTGAGTGGCGCTGTGCCAGGTCAGCCGGCGCTTCTCTGCGGTCCTCGTTGCACCGACCACTTGTGGTTCGGAAGCTGCTCCATGGCGTACTGGACCCAACCGTCTACAGAAGCCATTTTCCCTGTTTGCTGAAACGAAAGATCTGCGCAACAATTTCCACTCCTCTGCCTTTCCCTCACACGTGGAGGTTTCTGGTTCAGCGCAGTGTGTGACAGGTCTTGTGTTCCCCTTATCTCATGGTGGGGGCGGGGGCTGCTGTTTTTTTTTTTTTTGTGTCCCAAGCATAACCCGTAACCAGAGAGTAATGCTCTCTACATCTCCCCCAGCCTGCATGACTTATGAGCGAGAATGGCTCCGGGCCCCAAATTCCAGTGACCAGGGGAGTGTTGGGGAGGTGAAATATTGCACTGATTGACCCCGCCTCCCCCACCCCCCCAGGCTACCTTCTGTGCAGTTTTGCTGTGTGGTTCACACAAAAAGAGGAGGCTTTGAATCCAGTAGCGATGGTAATGGGTTTGGGCCTTCCACTGACCCCAGGTCAGCCAAAATCAAGCTAACCTGCCTGACCACTCTGCCAATCGATTGTACCGCAAATTATATAACTGCCAAGAGTGATAATACAGTCTGTACCTTAGTCCTGCTTATTCATACTTTGCCGGCTTAAAATTTAAGGAGCACAGAGCCTGTGAATATGACAGATTATTATTATTATTATTATTATTATTTACTATTAGTCCATGGGAAGTGAGGAAGAGGTGGGCAGCAGTCAGGAATGGGTTAAACCCGCCCGGTTGAGGATCAGCACGCACATGTTCTGTGTCATGAAGCAATCAGGGCACCGGGTAATGAATGAAACCTGCCAATGTGGGTCAGATTAGCGCCTGAGAGAGTCCCCGCATTGTGCAGAACCGTGCTATGCAAAGCTGCAGGAGAAGGTCTGTGCGTGGGGTGGGGTGGGGCAGCCGGTGGGGGTTGGGGGGGGGCGGGGGTTGATCTGTGCAAAACACAGCCAAAGTTTGCGAAAAAAAACCAGGGACTTAAGGAAAAAAATCTGTGGGAGATAGCCTCGCTCGATTTCAGGGACAAAGTTGAAACAGACTTGGAGCTCAGCTGGGCACGCAATAAGTGTGTACTTAAAGGATAAGACGCGTTTCATAACTGCATTAAGATGGTTACAACATCTCCTGAGACTTTACCAAGCAGGCAGTGGGAGATCCATCCTTCAGGGCTTGTAGGCGCACATTAACTATCGGGATAAAGAGGCAAGCGATTTGCAGGTATTAAAGTGAATTATACCGTGGCAGCTCTGGAATTCTCAAATCTAATCGGTCAGATGGATGTTCATTAATTATTCTACAACCACATAGGCGGTGCCAGCCAAGCGAATCACAGTAGTAAATCAATACACTATTATAATATATGATCCTAACTAACATTACATACAACTCCCACCATAGAACACAATTTAAAATGAATGGAAACAAAATGCAAACGATTAGCCAGTGGGGGAACAGAGTAGTTCTACTAATAAAAGCATTTTCGCATTTATTATATACGGAAAAAATGCCTTTAGGTACAAGCAAGTAAATCAAATGTGTGGTGACTGTGGTATAATCTGGTTAATGCACTTCCAAACTGTGCATTATACAGTATGTTTTTATTATGCATTATACGTTTAAGAATATATGATGCGTGGCTTTTTGTGCATTAACCCTTATGTAACGTAGGTCGATGGTGAACACTCAGAGGAGTGAGGAGTGTCGATGGCGAACATTCAGAGGAGTGTTGAGTGTCGATGGTGTCTTCATTCAGGGTGGTGAAGGAGGATTTAAAGGCTGCCCTCTTCAGCATCTGGGGCATAGCTAAGCTGCAAATGAAGACGGATCTCGCCCCCGTTATGCCCTGGGATGGAGTTTCCTGCTCCCTTCTGTGCCATCTGGGCTCCGTTAACCGCCACATCCCTGCCCCCCCCCACTGACCAGCCCTGGTTAATCTCTCCTGTCACCGTGACACCAGCTGTAGCTCCGTCTCCGAGACCCCCACCTTGTACGCAGTGTCCTCAGTCACTGCTGAATACCGTTCGGCTTCATGTTTCCCTCCCAGAGAAAAAGAGACGTCTCTAGCGGATGCAGGCGTCCTCGGAAAAAAAGAGCTGTTTTGAAAAGTGCAACAGATGTTTTGCCTGTATCCCTACCTCTGAATTCTTCAGCAAGACTTTCAGGGAGGGCTAAAAGTCGCAATCGAAAATTTTCAGTGTCTTGCCAATATAACGATATATTTGATGGCTGTCATACGTTTTTATCTCAGTGTGGTGCATTGGGACCTTGAGAACGGCCCCCGAATGCTGAGTTTCCATAGTCCACATTCTCTGAACGGCCCTCTGCCAAACATGAATGTTAAGTTCTCGATGGGCTCTGTGAGAAGGATCCGGTCTTTAAGATCAGGGGTGTTTTTCATGCGTCCGTTCAATGAATAAGGCAACCAGAACGTGTTGGGGAAATGAAGACGGCTGGAAATCACGATAATCTGTGCCAGACGTGATGGTGTGACACTTCAGCTCACATTTAGAGGTTATATTCCCATCCCCGCCAGTAATGAACATTCTAGAATTGAACATCACTCTCTCCCTCTACCTCAGACATCACCGGTGTCACTCATCAAAAACCTCTCTGTTAAAACCATTTAAAAAGCTGCTCACTGGAAATGTTGTATGAAAACACATTTCAATTACTCAGCCTTTTGGGTGTTTAAAAAAAAAAACACTTTTCAGGTGGAGAATGTTACCCCCCCCCCCCATCTCCTTGGTTAGTTACATAAAGCCCAGCTGTATAACCCCCACTTCCAAAGTCTACAGAACTTTTTTGGCACAGTTATAAGCTGTGTGTTCATTCAGTCTCCACAGCCCCAGCAAAACTCCTGGTGAGTATAATAACTCCTTAGTTTAAAACTTTGCATAAGAAATACTACCTACCCTTCTCTGCCTGCATGAGATGTTCTTCACTTTGTGCGTGTCGCTTTTTAAAGCTCACAGTCCTGTTTACTTCTCAAATAACCAGTTTTTTTAACAGCTCTTTGCCAATATATAGATGGGAAATCATATGTCCTGCTGAGCAGCACCTGCTCATGTAAATATGTTTCTGCGTTTCCTGTTGTTGGTTTTATTATGGGTAACAGATGTGGGCGATACAGTTGGAATGTAAGCAGTCGGTTTCAAGGGGAGACAGATTGCGTTAGTATGTTGGCTGAACAGGTACCTGAAATGCCAGGCTGATGTCAAGTTGAGTCCAGGAGGGAAACTTGGCCCAGAACCCAAAGTAGAACCATGAGATGACCCAATGTAGCCTTGTGCTATCAACTTTGTGTGTCTGGGGGTGTCAGGAGGGAGGGGGGGGTTAATTTTATTTGAGGGGTTATTAATGAGAGAAGCCTTCTACGCTTCTGGAGTCCGTCTATCTCCAAGGTTCATTTTACATCACGAGGTAGCTCACGGCTACGTTAGCATCCACGCGCCCGGCCTCCGTCCAAGATAAACAGGTTCTCCCAGGCAGCAGATGCTGCCAAATGTGAGCGCTTAGCTTGGCATGCTGTGGCGATGTGATAAGAGCCAGGTGTACCCTTTGGTTAAGACCCGTACCTCCCCTCAAAGCCGTGAAAATCTCTTCCGCTGATCCAGCGAATGTCTTTTCCAGATGGGCGTGCGCATTTCTGCCTTTCAGCTAAGCTGCCACTTCAGAGTTCACTGGCTGGAAAAGTGCCGCTCGTTGTGAATGGTGCCCAGCATGTCACTGGTTTTTACGTGGCACTGCCGCCTCCTTTGGATGGTGGTCCAGTTCACTGGCATGCAGCTCAAAGTGAGGGACTTGTGGAGACCATGGCGTGACCTGCAAGCGTGCGGCACAGTGGTTATCTGAGTATCACTAGCCTATGGCTCACTTCGTCGTACGTTATTTTAGGGTCCATTTTTCAAAAGGAATGCAGACTTTTGCCAAGCAGAATAACAAATGACGGACTGACTTCTCCCACCCTTTGATTTAAAAAGCAGATCAGAGCTCCTGTTACCATTTGGATCACAATATTTCAGGTTCCTGCAGCTCAACATTTTGCAGAACGGAACATACAGCTGTGGGCCAGAAAAGCACAGGGTAGTTCTACTTGTTGTTCAAAAACGGACCTTGTAAAAATTTGCAGACTCATTAGTTTGCGGACTTTGGGTGATGCCAGGTGTGCATCCCTTTGAACAATGGCGTTGCCATGGATTAACGCACACCAGGAATAGTTGATCGGAGAACCCTTCAGAGTAGCATGAACACATCAACACTGGTCTAGTGTTAATTCAGCTACATCTGTAACAGTACACTCACATACACGCACATGCACTCTGGCAACACTGTCAGTTGAATATGGGCTCCTGATCTTACTGGTCTGGGTAACATAATACAAGGAGCTGCAACACTGAACCACAGAGACTCCAACAATGTACCTGGGTTTTTGGCATATGGGAACATGTAAGTGTAAAAACAATAAAATATAATTAAATTTCAGTGAAGTGGGGGCCTCGCAGCCAAAACCACAAGCAGTCTGCCAGTGTGCCAGGAATTCATGCGGTTGCTGAAGTATTTTAGGTATCAAAAAGGCTCTTCACTTTAGTGGCAACAAATTTGTGTTTGTTACAAGGAAACAGCCCAGTGTTGTTCAGCTTCGACTTTGTTAAATGGAGACGCGATTACAGCTAACACCCTGGGTAAATTCCCCTCATTCACCGTGACTGTGCCGCACGCCATGGCACAGAGTCGTGCGGTCACGCTGACGGGAGAAGTTTGTTTCTGCTATTTGCGTCTGAGGGAAAGCTTCCGTTTGGAACCTTGATGGAGTGCTACCCCCAGAGATTTCTGGCCTGTCGTTTTGTGGTTGAAAAATTGTAAAATGCATGTCATACGCACGAAGACCATTAATTACCGCTTGCAGTGATCCCATCTCGAAAAGGAAGGGGGCAGAGTCAGAAGGTGGGTGGGGGTGTCAACACGGCTATTTTGAGATGACCCTACTGGTCTCTTTGCGGGAAGGAGACTCTGTTGTGGTCAGTTGAGGGTGGCTATCCCACGGTTTGCACAAACCAAAACAATTTATTCAAAAGGATCTTTAATAGAAACCCCTCGTTTCCACGACCCATCTACACAACATGCTACAATTACATGCTGTTTTCCTTGGATGCTGCCTATAAACATATTGTGCGTTAGTCACATGAAAATAACTCAGCTGACACTGTGGTCCAAGATAAACTCTCTAACCCTAGATATAGCTAGCTGCATGCTGGACTGCTGAAAAGAAGTATTGAAAAAATCACACTAACTATTCTGTTAGGCTAAAAACAAGTTTGGTGTCCTGGGGTACTCTCATATTTTCTTGAGTTTACGGACCACAAATGCATTTCTTTGGCTTCAGAAACCATCACAATGATCAGCCAGAAACAGTGTGGTACCGCTCCTGCAAACTCAGCTGGCAGCACACTGACCTGTTGGTATCACTGGGATTAAAGTCATGAATCTCTCTGCTCGGGATTTGACCTCGAGTTTGTGTGGTGGCTTGAGTCATTCCTCTCAGTCTATCCTGTAGAGGTCCATACAGATGCGATGGAACCAAAGTAATCTTCTGGGGTCTTCTCGGGCATTGTCTTCAAATCCCTAAAGGAGGAGCACTTTCAGCACCTGCTCTGGGATCGTGGCACTCGAAGACAACATCTGGTTGTGTAGCAGACCATGATGTCAAGCAGTCATTTTTGCAGGAAAACAAAATGTTCTCACAGGGACAAAATGGCTGAAGGTATTAATGGGGGTTTTAGGTGGCCTCCTATGGAAACCAAATGGAGTGCAATTTTGAGGATACTGTTTGGTGTTTAGATTAGTTGTAAACAAAATCTTGGTCATTCCCGATATCCATTTAAGAATGTTTCGTCCTGTGTCCAGTACTGATGTGGCTGGTCAACTGAACAGCAAGCATACTTTAGACTTGTATGACTCATTGGTTAGCACACATAACCGACCTTCATATTCCCTCCCCATGGCTGAAGCGTGAACAAAGACGTGGGAGTTTACATTGGGATCCCCAGCGGAGAATCGTGCATGAGTTGCCTGGGCAATGTTGACATTCCTTCTGCAAACATGCACACCGTTTTGATGAGGAGGCAAGCCCCGACTGAGCTGGCCAGTGAAGGGGCCATCTCAGGTCCTGCTGTCTGAGTCAGAACAAAGCTCATCACCTCTCATGCGGGGAAAGGTGTTGCCATGGTGACCACCACCTCGACCTGCCAGGATACTCCCAAGGATTGAGAATGAACTGAAATAAAGTCACTATAGACAAAGGGGAGACATTTCCAATTCTGCTCTATCCATCTGAATCTCCCTGCTTGCTGCTGGAGTGTCCAACAAGATTCTTTTGGGGAGGATGCTGGATTCTTTTTTAAGTATATTCTGGACTGTCTTTCTGGAGAAATGTTTATTATTAAAGATTAGATTTAAGGAGAAGTGATTTGTCATGGGGCCATCCTTAGCAGAGTTAGGTCTGGCTTGCACATCTTCAAAACGAAGTCTCTTTGTTTAATCGTTTTTCCATGCAGGGGTTATATAGCGATGGATTCTTTCTCCCTTTTGTCCAGCATTTTTTTTAACCTGATGGCTGGCATTCTTTAAAGGAAGAGGGGAGAAGGGGTCAGACTTTTTCTCTGATATGAAAAAAAAATCAAACATTTCAGCAGTTGTTTACTCAGCTTATGCTGGTACTTGGAAAATCTCTTGTTTGGAATGCTGGACACATTGATGTGATTGATAATCAGCCCCACAAGGGTTTATTTTAATTTCTCCAGCTGTGCTGGGGGAGTTTCCAGAAGCGTATAGTTGACAGTTGGCCCGGGGGGCGTCCCCTGCTGGGCCGGAGAGGATTATGCCAGCTAACCCAGTGTCCTGGCCTGTTGCTGGTGCTAATGACGGTTGAGTGAATTAGACCGCGGACTGATGGCCGCCTGTGTGTGTTGCTCTCTTCTCAGGCCAGTCAGATGGGCTCTGCCAGCTAAAACAGAGCGAGCACCACCCCCCACCCAACCCTTCACACGCCAGCTCTGAATCGCAGCAGATAGCGGCTCCCACGTCCTGTTAGGTAAGAGCTGCCATTTTCCCATTAAATGCTCATTTAACTGGTAAGTTTTGCTGATTATTACACAGCATTGTGCCATATACAAGACAATATTGAGACATAAGAACACGGCATGTTGTCACGATGTGACACGTTAAAAAGTCACAAAGGCTATGTATTTCACTGCTGAATCTTTTTCGTTTTCCAAATATGTTTTATGCTGTGACATGTCGGATTTTGGGAATGGCCTTCCCCTTTTGCATCATGTGACAGGACAGTCCTGATGGGGGAGGGGGGAATCTGGAACAGGCTAATTCATTTCCTTTCCCAGGCCTCAGCTCCCAACAGTCTGACTGTTTCGGAGCCTGAGCCTTCGAGCGGTGATTTTGGTGTTTGGCGGCGGGGGGGGGACAATACTAAGGGGTCAGAAAGGTCAACATCAGCAGGAAGGCCGGGGAGGTGGGGGGATGTAAAGCAGGAAGGTCTGCAGGAAGCAACAGGATTTTGGACTTCTGGGGGGCAGGGGGGATGTTTGGTAGCAGGCTAGCTGTAGGCCGCTGCTAATGAGGTGCCCCTAATCCCCAGGTCACACAAGCCTT